TTTGTTTGGTCTTTCAATTTATTCTGACGTAGGAATTCACCTGGATGTCATGTCATTGCATCATTCAGTCTCATCAAACAGAGCTGTACCATCGCTTCCCTAATCAGTCCCCAAACATTCTCTTGGGTACCTTGTCGTTATCTGCCATTTATCGCACTCTCCTCCCCTGCACCCCTTCCCCGGTCCCCTTGTTCTACTTGCTATCCCTATAGGTTCATCAATCCTTGGTTTCATTTACTGGAAAACAGAAAAACTTATTTCACAACTTCAAGAGAGTAATTCCCTACTCATAGCACCTCTGTGTTTAAAAGCAATTCCAACGTCATCCTTTGTGAGTTGTCTGTTTCAAGTCGTTTGCCCACCTTCTAAGGGGATTCTTAGTTTTTTCTTGTTGTAGACTTGTAAAATACTGTAGATTTTGGTAATTAGTCCTTTGTGTGTCATTACTAAATATCAGTTTTCCCAGTCTGTGGGCTTTCTTTTACTTTCTTAATGAGATCCTTTGATGTACATAAGCGCTTTATTTTCAGTGTCTTCCACTGAGGGTGTTTCCTTTGACATCTCTATTAGTTCAGGTAGTCCCTGCACTAGGGCACTTAGATTCGTCCTGATTTTCTCATCAATGATACTGACCGCTTTGGGTTTTACATTCAAGTCTTGAGTTTGTTTTTGTGCATGCAGTGAGATAGGGGTCTGGCTTCATCAGCAGGTGGATATCCAATTTCCCCAGCACCATCTAGAATTGCCTTGTCAGAAAGACATAATGAAACTATTTGCACAACTTTCTCTTGCAGTCGTAGTATCATAAATCTATCAAAGGAAGTTTGAATATACACGTTTTTCTCTTGAAAACAAAAGTGGTATTCAAATTCCCTTGATCCTAGAACTGCCCTAGGATCTGCTGCCCAAAGTGCCATTAAAGTAGGTATTTTAAGTATTTCTTGTTAATAAAGTTATTAACTCCCACTGTAATCTATTTTCAAAAATGAGAATTGATTCAGAATTATCTCTCATTTCGTTTATTTGGAACTAGGTTCAAGTTGCCATTATTGGACCAAGTGATGTGGCTGGAAATTAATTAATGCTTATAGCCTCGTTTCCTGTTATATCTTCCTTTGATGGCTAGGCATCTGCTCAAAAAGATTTTCTCTTCTGTGAACCCTCCAGAACCCAAATCTTAAAACCCTGCCTGTGTCTTTTTAAGGTAAATGGCATTGGTTTTGATTAGAACAAGAAGAATAAGACCTAGGCTAGGCCCACTACCTAAGGCAGTTAGACCTAACTGTTGGCTTCCACGTTGATTTTTCTTTTATCCGGCTCAAAGAAATAATTAAAAATATATAG